CATAGCGCTGCTCCAGCCAGCGCTCCACCAGTGTGTCGCCAAACTTGCACACCGAAAATAAAGCCGGACTCTCCGCCCGGCCCGAAGATATAGCGGCCTGCTTTGCCTCTCGGGCGGTGACTTCCAGGCCGCTTGGCCTTCCAAACAACCGGTACCTCCTCCTTTTTGGAGGGAAACACCATTGCAGACTCTGATATTGCCCGTGCAGGCCCTAGACTCAGACTGGTACCCGCCTAGACCTAGCCTACACTACCGGGCCTCTAAAAATGCCACTTTTGTCTTCTTCTGCTCGGCCTCCGGTACCTGCACATCTACCCCTTCCGGCTGCGGTACCGGCCTACCCACTACTTGAGTGCTTTTCCCCTCTGCAACCCCCTAATGTCACGGCCACAGGTAAGTACCGGCCCTGAGGACCCAACAAACGAGCAAGTGCCCTGACGGGCCACACACATACTCATGCCAACCAGCACTCAGACAGGCACGGTCACACACACACCCAAGCCAACCAACACTCAGACAGGCATGGGTCACACACACACTCAAGCCACCCAGCACTCAGACAGATATGCAGTCCAGCAAGCGTGCACACACAGACTTAGTAGCAGGCGGGAAACTCAGCAAGGCATTCAGTCTATGAGCAAAACTCAAAAATCAGCTCTGCGTTTCAGTCCATGTTTGGACGGGTCATCACAGTTGGGATAAATGATGACCGTTTTGGACAGAATGATTTAACAGTTTGGACGCATTACAGAGTTAGGCAGATTGATTTAGCAAATTAGTATTACCAAAACCACATTTAGTTCAACAGTCAACCGGTTTGAGATTCTGCGCACACCATCGGGACCAACAAAGATATCAATTTAGTGAAGCGATTTTGCATGTTAGTCACATGCGTCTGAATCACAGGCCTGCTGCTGCTCCCGTAAACTGTCGACCTAGAACTTCGCCTCCATTAGCTTTGCCGAAGGTTCGTGTCACCTCTCTAATCCATCCTTGGCACCTCCACCTAGGTGAGGCAGGTGCAACCGCATTGACGATGTTCAGAGGCGAAAGATCATCGAGAGTGCATGCACGTGGGTTCGCTTGTGCAATCATCGAACCCGCGGGCCTTGTGCAATCAGATCATCGAACCCACGGGCACGTGAACCCACAAGGCACGTGAACGGCATCTCAGGCACGTGAACGCACAAGGCCGGTGGGTCGATGCTCGGCGGAAGTGAATGCACGTTGATGGATGCACGCAGCACATGCGAGAGTGCATGCACGTGGGTAGCCATACCTAGGTGGATGTGCGCAGGACACACGTGAGCGATGCACGATTTTATGTGGGGCCCACCAATTTATGTGCTCGTCAGCCTAAATCGTTCAGTCCTTTGACGAAGGGCACAGTGGGTCTGTCCAAGTTTCTAGAATACCTGTCCATATCGGTTCACAAGATGTTCTATTCTGAACTACCGGTCCAAGAAGCTTCTACAAGAATCTAAAACGCTTGGATCACTTGGTGGATTCCAATCTACCGGTCCAAGAAGCTTTTACGAAATTCCAAATCGGTTCGCCGTTTCTCTAACTTCGACGCGTTCACCTAATTTGATAAGAAAAAATATCCAATTCCAATCTGCCGGTCCAAGAAGCTTCTTTGAATTCCAAATCGGGTCGCCGTTGCTCTAACTTCGACGCATTCACCTAATTTGAATAAAAAAAAATCCAATACGGTATTGTTTTTGGCGAGAACCTGGTAGGGCCTGCCCATTTCGGTTCACGATATGTCCAAATAGCGGCAGTATGCCATCTAACTTACCTGGTCAAAGGAGTAATATTCTACTCTACCTGCAGCAGTCTATGAGTTGTCAGCGGATTCTGTAACAACTAACTAATCAAAATAAAAACAGAATCATTTGCTGGATTGCATGCCGAAGGGAAATTAAACAATAACTAACAATCGAACAGTTACAGGAATCCTCGCTCCTCCTCAATCCTTCTTGAGTCGTCAACTTGTGTCGACGTCCCGGAAAGCTCTGGTTGAGCAGCGTGTCTAAAGGTGTGCATTCGGCCCACCTTTGTGCCCCAAGTCAATGCAGAACTGGCCAGTCCCGTCCATACTATTTTTATACTCGCGTACAGCACGGGGCGTGTATCCCCGCCGGAGTCTCTTTATAGATGGTTCGGTAATCGTCTCTCCCTCATAGGGCTGGCCTGCCCAACACGACCTCTACAGCGCAGCAAAGCAGACCAAAGGACTTAGCAGCAAAGCATGCATGCTCTACTCCCAGTGGGTTGGCATGGTGACCATGACCCAAGTGTTGTCCAGGGTCCTTAAGAGGCAACACCCGTTTCCCACCAGCATGCTCCCAGGAAGAATGTTGACTCTCAAGGTTGAGCGCTCGCGACACCTCACAATGAGAGGTCTCTCAAGACAGAACTCACTTCCTCATGGTAAGAAGCGACAAAGAGGGTAGATAAGGTAAGGAGCAACATACCTCATAATGCTGCCCCCAACCACAAATTTCTCATCAGTAACCTGACGTGCATTTATGATGAGCGGTCGGTGCCGCAACACAACCCACAATATAATGCAGTTTCATCTCGGCTCAAGTGCGACGTCAGCGATCTCTCAGCATCCAGCATGTACCCGTATGTCACCACAGAGCGTTCCTGGAGCGCCCTCACGACCCAGGGCCGCCAATCTTCCTGTCGCATAAGCCTTATCACTGCCTCACAATGTCACCACGAAGCATAAAACAGCTATTGCGAAGGAGCCAGCGGAGCGGATCGATCCTGCTCTCATACCAATTTGCAAGGAAAATGAGCAATAGCGAAATGACAGAATTCCGGATTTGGAAATCACGTTGAAAGCCAGATAGTCAAAAGCTGTCCAGAAAGCAGAAATGCACTGATAACACACCGAAGGAGAACCAAAGCAGTGATCTCAATTGTTGATGAAGCTCTGCCTCCTACTTGGTGCTCAGCTCCCAGACTACGATCACACAGCTACTAAACTAGCGTATCCTAGTGACGAAGCAACCAGTTGACGTCAGCAGCAGCAACCCAAGTACATGCAGATGTCGACCTTGTAGACTTCCCCGAAGACCAGGTACATACTCTCACATCATCCCCCTCATCTCTCTCCCTTGCTCACCCTCGTCTTCTTCTCCCACGTCTCCACTTTCACCCGAAGACCACCACCGTACCCCGCTGACCTTCTCCAAGCCTAGCCCGGCTATGACGGCTGGCTATGGCACTGCCTTTCTGCAGCGCCCTTCTCCTCTAGACGCCCGCGCGTGCCCAAGCACCTGCGCTAGCGCACAGCCAGCAGCCGCGAGCGCTTCCTCCAGCAGTGCTGCTGCACGCACTACCAAGTGCCTGAACAAGTCCACCAGCCGCGAGCTCTGTCCTATATGGAAAGTGCTCACCCAGTTTGCTGCCGGGCTGGGCCGCGCGTGTGCCCTCTAGCTTCAAGTTGGGCCAAAGTGTCTGCACCGGGCCCGTTCAGACAGTGGTCTGGGACCGAATTGGTTAGGCATACCCAACCACCCAGGCGCAAACGCGCATTGTTCGCTGGTTTCGCACGTTGCTGGAAGAGCCTAGAAGGCTCACAAATATTTCTGATTCTCACGAGCAAGGCGGATGAAACCAACTGGCACATGGCAATTGTCTGGCACAAAAATTGATGAACTCAGGCCTGATTGAAATTCAGGGGCCCGCCTTCATTAGGGCGGGCTCGTGCTTGCTGCAAGGGCCCCTCACGGAATGAGAGGAACCAGAGTTATAGGCAATTAGACAGTCAATCCTCCATGATGGAACGGTCAGTGCTACTCAGGGGTCCTCCAGCCGAGACGGAAGGAAGCATTGAGTATGTATATCTTGTATTCAGTGATCACAGTTGCTGGTGGGGTGAAACTGGACTGACAGTCCTCAGAGTGGAGAAGGAGCCAGGACCACAAGGACCTGTTTCTCTCTCCTATTTCTAGAAACCCGTTATATTCTAGGACGCTCGTGACGGATTTCTATCATATTGGAATATTCACATTAAATTTCGAAGTCCAGCAGAACTCATTGTCCTAATTTTTTTAGAAATCCGTCTCCGTTGGGTACTCCGTGTCATCATCCTTGCGATTGTTGCACAATTCTGAAAGTCGTCTAGGGTTATGAACTTGTGACTTACCTGAGTAATTTTAATCTCGAATCACTCATTAAAATTTCCTTTGTAATCTTGGTGCATTGTGTTCTCTGCTTGGTACATCTGGACTACTACTCTCATTGGCCAGTGGCCAGTCCATGATGTGTCGGCCTCACACAGTGTGTGCCCAGGGCGCAACCACCTGAGCCCTGAGCTAAACTCTTCAGCGCAGCCCTTGCTTCTGGAAAGGCTCACGTTGCTCTGTAACCAACTGCCGTGCTGCAACTGTCTAAATGCCATATGGACAAATGTCGAAAACAGGCCTCTCGTGGATATTGAGGCCCGCCTTAACTTAGGGCGGGCACAGGCTTGCTAGGGGCCGCAGCCCAGAACACTTGTATGTCTGATAAGGGCCCCGCAAGGGCTCATTCCTCGCAAAACCCCCGTATCTTCTACGAATTGTTTTTTTTTTTTTTACTCAGGAGATCATAGCAAAATTTAAGAGTTGGGTGTGCCAGGACGTGGCCTATCTACGAAAAAAAAAAAAAAAAAAAAAAAAGGCCCCGAAGTGAGGTTTGGGGGGGGCCTGAACCCCCTAGCGGACGGGCCCCGAACCCCTCCCCGAATGGCCAAACGTTCGGGGGTCGGTCCGGGGGCCTCCAAACGTTCGGCCCAGTAGCCCTGCCAGGAAGTACAGTTCTTTCGCTGCTCTCTTACTTAGCTTTGCTTGTGTTTGAGTGGGTCTAAAATCAACAATCTCAACTTTTCTAGCTAGCGGTTTTTCTTCTTGGTGTTTCCTTTTCTTTTTACCAATTTTAAATGTGTGTTTGCTGCTGTGAGGGATTGTGGTTTTGTTAACCTGAAGGATCGGTTTTGTGTGCAGGGACGATACAGCGGTGATGAAGATGAAATTTCACTTGGAGGCGGAATTGAGGAAAACAAGGCCTCTTTGGAGCAAGAAAGGGGTTCGTCTTGAGGCACCGTATGGTTATCAATTGTGTGATTGCCATCAACCAATGACAGGTGAGTCGATCTTGATACAGGCCTGTCAATTTTGTGCATCATACTGCTGTCTTCACCCGAATAGAATGCCCGGTCATTACAGCTGCATTTTCTGCAGCTTTCAGTCTAGGTACAGCGATAATGACCAGGCATTCTATTCGGGTGAAGAGTTAGAATCACTTACCAGTGTTACCACCAATCCCATTCGTGCAACATGAATCTCCTACTGGTAGCAGCAAGGAGCAAATAAGTTGAGAGACATGCAAACTTTTGTGGCCAGAATTTTTGTTCCCATCCTAGATTGTTTTCGATTCTTCTGAATCTTCTAATATCATTTCCTGAAAGATTTACACCTAATATACGTCCTCAATTTTTTTTCAGAATTCTGTGCACGAAGGTGGAATTTTTGCGCTAGCACCGTACGGTGAGCGCTAACGCTGGCCTGGAGGCAGTGAATCGCCTGCGGTAATGTGTGCCCGCGTGGTAGAAGTTTCCTGCATGCGGGTAGGGAAGGAAGCAGGTGGGCGAGACTCTTAGTTTCCAGCATGCGGGTAGGGAAGGAAGCGGGTGGGTGAGACTGAGGGAGTGAACGGGAAATTGGCACCATCGCGAAAGCTTTTGTCCTACCCTTTTGAATTCGGGTAGGAAGAAGGGGGCACATATAGGAGCGAGCTCTTCACCACAAGCAAAGCCGCGCCTACGGGCACGGCAGCAAAAGCTATCCTTGGCAAAAGACAGAGAAAAGGAGCGAGGACTAGTCTAGCCAGGAAGAAGAGGACGGACACAGGGACAAAAGAGAACAAAAGAAAGGAGAGAAGAAGGAAGGGAGGGGAGGCAAAAGAAAAGAAGGGATAGAACTATATATGAGACAAAATCGAAGGTGAAGAGAAGCATAGGTAGGAAATAGTTGCGAGAAGGGAGAACAAACAGAGAAGCGCTATCTATGGAAACAATGTGATCCCTTGGCCGAGGATTGAGCTCGCTGTGCAACACTACTCGTCAAAAAGCGACACTACTCGTCAAAAAAGATTACGAACCTTCCGCTGGAGCATGGGCTGATACACGCGTGAGTCCTTCCCCTCCCTCCTCTCATTATCTCACCTTCTCATTGCCAGGTCGGAGTCTCCTTCCCACGTATCTCCAGTTTCCAGTAGTACCCAAACTGCTCACCAACACTAAGACCCAGCACGGTGGTTCAGTTCGCCGCCCTTAGAAACCCCGACTTCAATTCTTAGTTTGACCGATTCCACAGGGAATTGGGTAAACTACGCATGCTCTACTCCTCTTTCCTTACTTTTCGCCCTTGTCTCTTCTAACTCCGACTTCGTTGCTGACGCCAACTTCTTCTTCTTCCCCCTTTCTTTTAATTAGCGCTTCTACTATCGGCCGATCCAGCAACCTTCAGCTTGTCCAAGCAGCCAGAAATTTTGGGCGTTCGCGGTTTATAACTAGCTCACTTCCCTATAGCTCTGCGGGGCCCGCTTTCTAATTCTCTTTCCCGTATTATGAACCTTGCCTTAGTCCGCTGCTCGATTCATCCTAAGTAGGGAGGGAAGACAAGAAAATGGGGAGTCTTGATCATTGTCGGATTAACCGGTCGGCCTATCTCCCTCACTACTCCCTCCTAGGTCCTTCACAGGCTATCAACGAGATGGAATCTGCCCCTGAGCGGTCGTCAGATTCACCGAGGAGGGAGAAAAGGACGAACTCTGGCCTAAACAGCTTCCACTGCTGTGCACAGGCCACTCTAAGCTTCCCTGTATCAATCCAGTTTTAACGGATGTCCCGACGACCAAGCACTGGGCTTTGGCCGCGAGATATCATCATTGAGATGATCGGGCCAACGGAATTTAGAAATGTTTGGTTTTACTCATCAAGTACCATCATCTGGATTTGAACTCAGGTCTGCACTTCAACAGCTCAAGTATGCACCAACTGAGCGAGGCCCGCTGGTTCCCCGACCGTTCTTGGTACGGGTACCGGGCTGTCCCATAAATGGGACATAATAATAATAATAAAAATGAAGATAGAAATTAGAAAAAAATAAAGAAAAGAAACTGATGAGGGGGGGAAAGAGAGGAACCTGCTGGTACCCCCTCGCTCCTACAAGCCAGGTCTCGGAGGTCCGCGATCGGGTCCGATGGCAAAAAGACAAGGCGGATAGTTTATAGGACTCTTAAGCCCTCGGCTTCCTTCAATCATGCTCCGCATTTTCCCAATTGCCAGCTGACTTCGAGCCCCAAATTTGTAGCTTGAAAGTCATAAGTTATAACCTATAGTGCTAGGCGCATGGCCGAATTTAGTAGGTGCAGATCTCCATGTAAAGAGTAACTGCACCCTGCTCGCGCCTGTGAAATTGCGCCCTGGCCACGCTTTGGCTTATCGCCGAACCAACAACCGCCGATCTTCTGTATCTACCACACAGAAGGTGTAGTTTATGTACACACCCGCCATGCACAATACTTTACCACGCAATAAGCCATATTGTCGTCAATTTTTGCTTGTGTCGTATCTTGTCTATGCACAATTTGTAATATCTTAGGGGTTCCCATCAAGGACCAAATGCACTCCACACTGTGCGACTCAAGCACCGCCTTTCAAATAGGTCGACGGAAATCGCCTCGGTTCATGCTTCCAATTATCGACTTAACACCGGTCATGACAATGTCGGCCTCTACGCACGCACACTCAGTGTGCGCGGTGATACTAATCAATTTTTTTGTGCCCTTTTAGCTCACACTGTCGTGCGAGGTGGCCAATCACACTATCAGTTCGCTAAATCACCAGACGTCTGGCTAAATCAACACGTGGCCCCAAAAGTGCCCCAAAAGTGCACGCGCACGCACTCTTTGATCTGACCATACCCACGCTCAGTGTTCCAATTTCTGAGAGTCAGTTTGCGGGCTGTGCTAAGATAACTTGTGCCACTGCCTCAAATGTCATTGCGGATGCGGCTTATTCGAGCCACAAAAACATGGAAATACCCTTGTAAGGGTAATCGCGCCGACAGCGAGAGCATTGACCTGCATAATTTGTTCGCACTCAAAGGAGTCACTAGGGACTCGCGCTTCTCGTTTAACAAGACGGTACGCTCGGTTCCCTTAGCGTCACGCACCACAAATTGAGTATTCGCCCACGTGGTCCTTAGACAATGGACCTTTAACCAGCCCAAACCAATGACCACGTCGAAGGGACACTTGTCGAGGACAGAGAAATTCAACTCATGTGTGACAGTGCGATCTTTGCCAAAGGTGATGAGCATAGCTTTAACAGCGTGTGTTGAGGTGACAACCTTTTGGTTGCCTGCCTGGTTTTGACAAGGGTTCTGCAATTCTGCTTTCTTCATTCCTAGACCCGCATATCAATCAAGACACGGATGTATGGGGTTGATGAGAAGCTTAAAGAAGATCGGCTCCACACCCCTTTGAACACGGCGTTGCTGCTTGAGTTGTAGCAAGTGTTCCAGGTGAGAATGGAAGTTGACTTCCTTAGTCTCCTCCCAAGGTTCAATGTAAAGTACTTGGACTGCAGTAGCCTTGGATTCAGCATCGATCCGGGCTTCAAGAGCACGTTGTTGGCTGGATTCAGACTCCTTGGAGGGAACTGTAGATGACTGTTCAGCTTCTCGTGCTGTAGAGAGTGCTGATAACTTTTCTACACCCTATGCTTGTTTCGCTGCAAACGGTAACAATCCTGCACAGCGTGCCCAAACTTTCCACAATGCAAGCCATCGTGCAGTTTGGATCTTCTGTCCCATTTTTTTGGACTGATGCGGAGGGCTTCCCGAGGCTTGGTGGAAGCATCCTTCGGCTTCTCAGGAATCTTTGCATTCTTGGGGAGGTGTGTTATGGTTCCCTTACCTGAATTGCGGTTAGGGCCCTTGCCTGAAGCAATCTTTCTAAAGGCATTACATTTTTCTTCGCAATTCATGTCAGACTCAAGGGCTGATGTAGAACAACCCACTTCGGAGCTCGGCTCTAGGATGTCATCTAAAGACTGATCATCCGCATAGGACTGGTCCTCAACCTCCCAATGTTCATGCACGGCAAGCTGGTTGCTGCTTTCGAACCACTTGCGTCGTAAAGTTTTACCTGCAGCTGGTGTCTTTGCACGCCTGGCGAGGTTTTTGGCTTTTAGGCTGAGTAGATCTAATAAGAGCTTTCTTCAAGTCGTATGCTCCTCGAGTCCTAGCCGGGAGACATAATCTTCGGGGGCCACTCCCATTACTACATCCATGCAAGACACGTCAGTCCATCCCAGGTTTGGAGTAGTGAACAAACTAGTCAAATGTTGTTCCAAAGCATGAAAGTCCACTTTTGGCCCTTGAGGGGCTCAACTTTCAGCCTTGCCTTATCTTGATATTGCGAGATGAGGAGGTCCTCAAGAGTACGTACAAGGGTCACTTTCAACCACGTTGTCAGGTCAATTTTTTCATAACCTGCACTAATAAAACTCTGTACGGCTGGCTCAGTATTTGTGTCCATGATCATACTTCGGTCTTCCGGCGGTGTTCGCAGTACCTCGAAGTATGAGCGCATGGAGCATGATCGGATGTATGCTTTGACGTCGGCGAGGAGTGAGGGTCGGTAGAAGTAGAGAGAGACGGTGTCCAATGTCTTCTGGAAACCAAGGTGTCCTGCTGTCTTGACGTCATATGGTGCTCGGCCAAGAGTTGACCACGTGGATCAGGGATACAGAGTCGGCGAGTGCCTTTAGTGTTAATGTGCAAGAGGTTGTCGTAGAGGGAGTAGTCGAGGATGGCGTCGATAGCAGTGGTGGAGTGAAGGTAGGAGATGAACATGAGTCATGGCGGTGTATGCTTTCTCAGGGGGCTTGTGGTCGGGTCGTCGAGAGAGGGCATCAACGACGCGGTTGCTTTTGTCGGGGGTGTGATAGTTGGTGAATGTAAATTGGGTGAGAAAGTCTAACCATCGAGTTTGGCGGGGTGTGATATATTTCTTGGTGAGAATGCTTGAGACGATGGTGTTGTCGGTGCAAATAGTGAAGTGGTGACCGTCGAGGTATGGGCACCAGACTTTGAGGGCATGGATGACGGCTAGGAGTTCCTTCTCATTGGACGAGTAGTTCATCTCTACGGGGATGAGCTGCTTGCTCGCAAATGCGATAGGATACTCGTCGGGTGGAGCTTTGGAGTGGGTGGGGGAATCCTTGATGGAGGGGGGGGTCCGGGATGTCGCGGGGGAAGTGTTGGGATAGGACGGGTGGTAACATTAAAATGTCAAGAGGGATCAGCAATCTTGAGGACAGGGGTTGTGGTAATGACTTGTTTGAGGAGGTCGAATGCGTCTTGACGGTGTTCGTTCCGTGCAAAAGGTTCGGTCTTGCGAGTGAGCTCGTGGAGGGGGCAGGAGATTTCAGAGAAGTCGTGGATGAAGGGGCGGTGGTAGTTGGCAAGACCGAGGAAGGAACGAAGTTGCAGCAAGTTCGTAGGTGGGGGAAACTCGACAAGGGTGGTTACCTTCGAGGGGTCCATGCGGATACCATCAACAGATACAATGTGGCCGAGGTATTCTATGCTTGAGGCAACAAAAGTGCATTTGCTGAGCTTGGCGTAGAACTTTTGGTCTCTGAGGATAGAGAGGACCTGGTGAATGTGCTGAGGGTGAGACTCGAAGGTGGGATTGAAGACTAGGATATCATCAAGATAGACGACGACACAGACTTCGAGAAGATCAAGAAAGATGTGATTCATTATGGGCTGGAAAGTCGCTGGGGCATTTGTGAGGCCAAAAGGCATCACAAGAAACTCGTAATGCCCAAAGCGAGAGCGGAAGGCAGAGTCTTATGAGTATCCTCTTTGCGAATGTGGTTCTGGTGGAAGCCACTTTAGAGGTCCATCATTGTGAAGTACTTGGCTCCACGGAGGCGATCAAGAAGCTTGGAGATGCGAGGCAAGGGGTACTTGTTCTTGATCGTGATCCGGTTGAGGGCGCGGTAGTCTGTGCACATGCGAAGTTCAGAGGTTTCGCCTTTCTTGATGAAGAGGCAACTTGTACCGAAGGGGAAGGAGCTTGGCTTAAACCAGCACTACGTCCGATCCTGTTTTTGTCGAGCCTGATTTTCACTGCGCACCAAGTTTTGCCGAGCCAGGGCACTTTGATCCAAGAAGGAACAAGGAGGGGAAAAAATATAAAAAAGGGAAAAAAAAACTTTCCGAAAGCCTCGATAACCACCAGATACATTCCATGAGGTGCTCGTGCGACTGTACCCTCAGTGAGGACGTGTAGCTG